TTCAGGTGGTAGGCAGCCACTTGCCGTGCACGAGAAGCTGGAATGTGTGAGTTTCTTCATAGCGTCTCGTGGGTGTGGTTCACTAGGACAGAAAGCGGCTTTTTCGCGTTTCGCAGCGCGAAACATTTTTCGCTGCGGGAACCTCAGGTCCACCGCTGATCATCAGTGGACCCGAGGTTCCCGCAGCGAAAAATGTTTCGCGCTGCGAAACGCGAAAAAGTCGCTTTCTGTCCTAGTGAACCACACCCGCGTCTCGTCACGTCACTTGAGTGGGCATCAGTCCCTGCGTATATTCATTTTGCGCCTACCGAGTTCAAAAACGCGTCGCGCCAATTCCACTAGTTTTGAACCCAAATTCATTAAAAGGAACCAACTACCCAGTTTTCCGACCATGCTCCACTCTCACCTGCACTCGCTCACGTGTATTGCTCTGGAAATGGAAGGGATCTTATTTAGTGAATTCAAAAATGCTTTTTTGGAGAAGTGCCAGAATTCTACAAATTCCTATAGAAATCCATTAATTCACAGGGAGCATTTTCATTTTCGGGAATTTCTTGAAAATTTCCTCTTTTTTAAATTGGCAGTACTTTCTCCGTCATCCCATCGGTATTTTTGGGGGGTGAAATTGAGTATATTGGGGACAGGACAAGATTAGGGCGGTGGAGGCGGGTTAACGAATCAGAGTCGTGTGTGGGACCGCACCATGGGAAAGTGGGAGCGCATTGTCTACCGAATTTCTTCAGTGCGGCTCACCGTGCTCCTAGTTACGGCTCCTCCAATGTTTCACAGAAAACATGAATCTCTCAATCGGTTTATGGCGACAAGTACCATTTTATAAGTAAGACATTAAGCAACAATAACAACAATCTATTGTCAAACAACTAGCAAAGTATGTGTAGAAAACCGAGCCGCTCACGGTTCGTAAAAAGCCTAGACGTACACCTTGTTCAACAGAAAAATGAAAGTTTACAGTCAATTTCGTGTTGATATCGAAGCGACGGGAGTGATTATCATTCATTCATTGACGTTGCTTTGCTGCTTGTACTGCGGCAGAAGGACCCAGGAGCATCTGTCGTTGCTGGGCGACCTGCAAGATATTCACGTTCAAATCACTTTCAAAATGCTGCTTTGAAAAGTGCCTTTTAAAGGAAAAAATGGCCCAGCTACCGATGGAGAGAGGCGTGAGATTTCGTTGCCACCTACAGTAACCTCACCATTTTTGCAGTGAGAGGAAACTCCATGATGCTTGAATCACTTTGCTTTGGCTCCCCCACTTTCTTCACGATTTGGGCGCGGCCGCGGCGAGCGCGGCCGAGTCGATAGTGCCCGCGAACTGTGCGGGTAAATTTGAAAACGCTCCACCACCACAGTTCGCGTCCGCGCTCGCCGCGGCCGCGCCCCAAATCGTGGAGAAAGTGGGGGAGCCCTTTGCGCTTCGGCACGGCATCCCAAAGCCTTCTCCTCATGCAAAAATCGGGATTGCTGCAGGCGGTGGTACCATATGCCCCTACTTCTGCATAGTGTCCAGGAAAAAATTATTATCTAACCTGAGTTTTCTCGAGATCACTTCGCTCCTTCTCAATAACATACGGCATGAACATGATGAGCGGACGTGGTGGCACCGATCCAGACAGCTTGACGAGCGAAGTACCAAAGGGACTTCACTCCCCATACGCTCACGATGCGAGCATTTGTGTGATGGACTTACCGTTAGACTCTGCAAGGAACCATTCTCGGTGAGGCCTTCCAGGGCGCGGGTCCAAGAAGTCTCTTCAAGTTCTGTCATTCGGAATGAATGCGTCAAAAACTCATCCCTACCTCGAAGTGCCATCTGAAATTTGTGAATTGTAGCAGGCTTGTAAAAAATGCAAGTGAAAAGCCGAATGTTACGACAAACGACCAAATGGAAGTCCATTTTTTTAAGTTTGGACAACTCAGTTTTAGGAAGTGGTGAATGATATGTAGAAAGTAGCATCTTCTGTTAAGCCGGTATTAACACACACTTTCGCTCAATATGTATTACGCAACAAAAACAAATAATACTACCCCTTTCGCTGCAAAAATAATGCTTTCAATTCCTAGAGGTTCAAAATGCGTATGAATTTACACTTTATATGTTTTGCTATCACATGCGCACAACAATTAGTCATAATGATACTATTCCAAACGAAAATTCATAACAAAGTGTACCAGAAATTTGACCCAGCAACGTTGACGGGCAACACTCCGCACAAAAACCCTTTGGTACCTCTACAGGATGTAATGATGCTAGTATGATGTTCACATTTACACGCAAACTTAACCTTTGGGAAAAGTCTTAAGTGAATAATCCAGAAAAAAGCATTGGAGCAACTTTGCGTCAAAGCTGCTCTGAGGCCAACTGGTCCTGACGCGATCTCGCTTGGCGCCGATTTCGTTCCTTTAAATTTCAGTAGAAATGCGCCACATTTCGAAAGAAAAGCTGAACCTCATTGCTTAGTCATGGTTTAGAGTTATTTCACTCATTGGCATGAGATATTTGTTGTCAGATGTGAGCTATGCTTTCATATTTTTGACCGTTGCTTCTTGCGCAGCATTGCATTCTTGTGTGTGGACGTTAATCCTCTTGTTTTTTGTTTGCTTATATATACGCCGTTTCCATTGAATCTAGTCACTTATTCATCTCTCATAATTAATTACATAGCAGGATGTGAAAATGGACACACTTTCAAAATGCTGGTGTAGTTGGGGTTTCTGGCACTATTACAACCCAGTAGGAGTAGCATAAGTCAAAATTAAATTTTCGATGAAATTTTGGCTATGGAGAGTTATCGTGGTCTCATCACGAATATGAATCCATTGGCCGCAAACTGGTTGTCACCAAATTCGCTGTAAACTTCTGTATAGGGGTTATTTGGGGTCCTGATTACGAATATGACATTCGTTTTTGTTGTTAGCGCTATTCGGCGCCTATTTCCTGCTCGTCTGCGCCCTCGCACTAATTAGATCGCAATCAGGACTAAGCCTTTGAATAGTGGAGGGCTCCAAAGTGAGTAGGGCACTCCCCTGTGGTCTAACACACTCCAACTTTTGCCACACGGTGCGTGGTTTACCCACTCCGGAGTTTCACCCCCTCCCCTAAGCTTAGTCTTAGGCGCTATAGGTGAGAAAGCTTAGAAAAGCAAAAGTATGCGTTAAACAGCACATGTGAAAAATGAGTGTCATGTTCATGATCAGAGCCCCAACCTGATTCGGAAAGTTACAGCAATTTGGTTTAGATCGTGGCTGCGAGCGCCAAAATGCGATGTTTACTATTCCGGTAGGACCCTCGATAACCCCCATAGCAGAAGTTTCAGCGACAATTATTTTTTGACCCATATCACGGTTGACGGACTACTTGAACTCAGCCCTTCACCGCCTCTGCGCTCTCTGGCCGGACGCATAGTCGGTCGGACGACAGCAACGACTGCAAGTGTCGCACAGTATTGGGTGCGTATCGATCTGCGGCACTTGCAGTCGTTGCTGTCGTCCGACTGCTGCTGTCGGACGACAGCAACGACTGCAAGTGTCGCAGATCAATACGCAGCTACTATTCCACACTACAGTGGGACTTTCGAAATACGATCACGCGCAGTCACGTGTTGTCTGGGTTTGCATTGGGTGACCGCGTCGCCTTCCATTTGCGACCGCGGTTTATGCGACACCTGCAGGTGGCCGGACGCATAGTCGGTCGGACGACAGCAACGACTGCAAGTGTCGCACAGCATTGGATGCGTATCGATCGTCGGACTTGCCTGAGTATTCGACGATTAGATGCAGTCAGACAGTCAGACAGTTGCGACCGTTGCTGTCGGACGACCGACTATGCGTGCGCCCAGTCGTTGCTGTCGTCCGAACGACTATGCGTCCGGCCTCGCGGGTCCCTCTCCTCTCCAAGGCTTAGTCCTAGGGCATTCTCTAATCGTCTGTGCTCTAGCCATCGCGGCAGGACCATTGAGGAAAAATCAAGTAGTCCGTAAACCGGTTCCTCAGTCTTCATGATGGAAGACTGGGGCGGTATTCAATCCTTCCCCAGGGGGATATATCCCCCTACTCTGATTCAATCCTCTGGGGGGACAAAAAAGGGTTGCGTCATAGGACCTAGCATACCTCTGTGTTTCTACCTGCCAGACAGTTAGAGCAGCGCGACCCCTCAGGGGAAAGAGTGCTTCATCAGTGGAGGGTAGTAGCGCTGCTCTAACTGTCTGGCAGGTAGAAACACAGAGGTATGCTAGGTCCTATGACGCAACCCTTTTTTGTCCCCCCAGAGGATTGAATCAGAGGAGGGGGATATATCCCCCTGGGGGAAGGATTGAATACCGCCCCTGGAGTGATCATTTTGTACTCCTACTGACTAGTATAGGGCGCCATTCGTTGCGGGACCCACTGCCTTAACCCGCGGGGATCCCATGTGATCGCGGTTGAATTCGAACATTCCAGCTTCTCACGCATGTCAAGTGTCTGCCCTCACCCCCCACCCCCCTAGACTGGCGACACTGCCCCTGGCTCACGGATTCCCCGCTCCACATTGAAGGGTTCACTGTAGCAGGAGGCAGTGGGACCCGTAACGAATGGCGTCCTTTACTAGTCAGAAGGAGTACAAAACGATGCGTTCCTGAAGAAGCTACGCGGCCGCGTACGCGTTCGCGTATTGATGACGTCACAGCGGCGGCGAGGGAGCGAGCATGGAATTAGGTACTGCTGGCAATATTTTCATATATTAAGACCTAAAGGATCTATGGTGCTCTTACTTCACTGTATATAATCTTAACTTCTTACTAAGTGGAATCAGGAAGCGGACTCGGAAAACGAACCAAGTTTAACCCATGTTCGGATTACTATCATTATTGGTTAGTGACAAAGTAGACGCCAAAACCAAGGAATGTGCACACGTAACGGCTGTCATCAATGGGTCAATCAACACATCTTGACAGTCTACTTTTGAGGGTTTGCTCATGAAAACCTAGATTTCCTCTGATTTTTCCAAAAATTCCTTTCCTAGTGCGACATTCTCTACATAAAACAATAATTCCGTTGGAGGCACAGTTGATTGAACAACTTGGTAGACTTAAGAAATAAAGACACTGTTCGAGCGAAATCCCTCCCTACGGCCACCACTGGGGATGTAATAGTGCAATAGTGCCGGGTTTCTTTCAATGCAAATAGAACTCTGTTAACTTAGAGAACAGATCATTCGCTTGTTTCATTACTTTAATGGGGTCTGTTGTCGACGGCGGGGCATCTGCTGCTGCAACGTGCTAACGAAACAAAACGTGTTAAAAAAGGAATGCCTTCTAACAGCAAACAAACCAGAACATGTTAGGAACAACATTCATCTAAAGCTTCGAAGAAACAACAAAACAACAAAACAAACAAAATAAGGCCCTATCGCAAGACGCGAGCATGCGACGATAACACATGTAAGTGAAACCGCGTCAAACGATTGTTTTCTGTTAGAAAAGAGATTGAACAACTTGGTAGACTGTAAGAAATAAAGACACTGTTCGAGCGAAATCCCTCCCTACGGCCCCACTGGGGATGTAATAGTGCAATTAATTAAGCCTAGGCGGAGAACGGGGAGACTCCCAGAGTGAGTGATTTTCATCTTTTTTGTAGCTCCTCCCCAACCTCCCGAGGCTTAGTCCTAGGGGAAGCCCGATATCTTGTGGTGCGCCTCTTTCTCTGGATGCGGAAAGAAAGAAAAAAAAAGAGGAAATACAGTCGATATCTCGAAGTCTGATTGGGCGTGTCACCGGAAATGACGTGGCAGCCACCGCACTTGATAGATGTGTGTGGATAAAATACTCCGCCAGATATCAGCAAAGCGTGTTGGAAGCAGCTTATCCGCGCAACTTCTATCAAGTGCGGTGGCTGCCACGTCATTTCCGGTGACACGCCCAATCAGACTTCGAGATATCGACTGTAGGTCAGTCTCCTCAGAATTCGTCACAGTTCTTGACATGTCTTAGTTTGCCAAATGGAGAATTCCAGTATATATGACAGGCTCTAACATGTTCCCTTTTGTCAATAGCAATTGCGTCAGCAGATGCTCCGCTGTCGGACAACAGACCCGGAGTCCATTCCGGTTAGGGGGCATTGCGGTGCACAGTCTGCTCTAATTCCATTTGGCTCCAAGGAGTCCTTTAAAGTTACGAAGTGCTATCAGCTTTTTTCTACGTTGTTTCTTCTGGTTTTTGTATAATGCATGTGTTCTTGTGCTTTTTAGCATAAACGTCATGAAAAGTAATATTTACTTAGTGATCAGCTGACTAAACCTAGGGAGGGGAGGAAATCCCTCCCGGAAGAAAGCGAAGATTGCTCACGAACCCGGGGTTTTCCCTCCTTTCTGAGGCTTAGTCCTGAACCTTTATACTAGGGGAATATGCTATTCGTGGTTTTAAACTTTTTGAACGCTCTAAATCGCATGTTGCAATACAATGACGAGCACGCCAATTTCTAGAACGGTAGGCACGAAATGTATGTACGTAGAGACCACTGCCCGCTGCTGTGGTGTCACGAGCATCGAAGGAATTCGGTGGCCAATTCAGTGGGTGGGATGAGGGCAGTCACTTGGCATGCATGAAAAGCTGGAATGTGTGAGTTACTTCCATACAGGAGTCTCGTCACGTCATAGCAGTGGGCACCAGTCCGTACGTACATAATTTATCGCGCTTACCGTCTTCAAAAAGTCGGCGTGCCCATCTCACTAGCGTTGAACCTGTTTTCGTTGTTGTTTTTCGTGCGTCGCTTCCAGCACCATTTACTCGAGGAAGACGCGTAATTTCAGTTGTTTGATTGCTGACTTGGCAGCCATGAATCCAAATGAAAGCTTTTTATCAACTATTTCAACATCAAACACAGGAACACCGGTACGCCTTTATTTGTATTATTAGAACTTCCTATTTACTAGTATTAGAGTGAGAAGCACCATATTGCTACTTGTCACAAGGTGTAGCTCTTGGAAAACATGACACCTAGTAAAACTTTAGTGAGGGGGAGCGTCAGGCTCTCTCACTTTCGTTACGATTTGGACTCGGCCGCGGCAAACCCGTGGCCGCGCCCCATATCGTGAAGAAAGTGGGGGAGCCGTAGCGTCATGCTTCAAAATAACGGTCAAAGTACGCAGTAATTGAACACAAAGTAACCGAATTTTAATTAATATGATTTTTAGACAATGGCCAGGATTATGGCTAATATTGTCGACATGCAGCAACATCTTGTAAGCCAATATCAGACAGTTCAGAATTCGTTAGAAGCGTTGAAGGTATGAGAATATCTATATGACCCGTTTTTCTTTATGTGAGCACTTTAGTATCCTCACAAACAGTGTGCATTAGGTCTTGACAGTTGTGGCCCTCAACGTCTCTTTTCCAGCTCGAGGTACATACTTCCACGCAGGCAATTCGAGAAGACCTGAAGAGAACTGATGATCGCGCACAAAAGCAGGTTAGTTGCTCTCGGTTTGTCCCAAATTTTCAAATATACGCTAACTTCTTGAAGGCTGATGATCTGCGTGTCACCCACGCTAATGAAGTTACACGGCTCATGGAACTTGTTAAAATGTTAGTGGCAAAGGACCAGGGTACTAGTGCTCCTCAGTCGCAACCCGCACCACCTGAGGCACCGCGAATGACACCAGCTCAAATAGTGAGTTGAATCTATTGTGGAAGTAATATCGTTTAAGTGATTTTTTTTCAGGCCTATGCAAATGCTGCTCCAGCAAGCGGTTTCTTTGGACCACCGGCTGGCTCCTTCAATGATCTCGCTGCTCAAGCTCAAGCACACTACGCGGCTTGCTATCTACAGCTTCAAGAGCAGCAGGTATAAGGGTGTCGCAATCTTCTCGAAAAAATTCAAATTCGTCTTTTCTTTAGAGAATGCGTTCCGCTGGTATGCAATCAACAGGCTTCTTCGGTGGTCAATCTGCCGTCAATATGGGTGGCGTTGGCATTCCGGGAGCGTTTTCGCAAAGGTTATTGAGATTACTGGGAAAATGTTGTCATTGTGTTATAGATGTTTGCTCGCTTTTAGCCAACACGTAGCACCAATAGTTCCTGCAACCGCAGCTGCTGCTCCAAAGCCGCCAACGGCAGCGCCATTGGGTGCTGTGCCACCAATAACAGCGCCTGCGCCTATTCCTACTGCCAGTACTGGTTTTTCCGGTACATTCACATCTACTGCTCCTGTGTCAACATCTGCTCCTTTGTCTTCGTCTGCTCCTCCAGTGACATCCGCCCCTTTGATGGCACCTACAACTGCCGCTTCTTCTGGTTCGTCTTTTTTGTTCATATGAAATATGACGTGCGGTTGCTTTTGAATGGCAAGTAATTATGACGTTCATCATGGATTGTGGCATCTCATTAGATCACTCGCTGGTTGTCAATGTGTTTATTGGATTAGTTTCTCAACAACATGACCGGAAGAGCTGTTTACATGCGAGTGATTCTAAGAGACTTAAGCAGTAGTCCATAGGATTTATTTTTGGCACTATTACTTATCTTTAATTCACTAACAGAAGGATATTCACTTCGGCAGTTTTGAGCTGTTTCGAACACCTCTTTTGACTAGCGCATATCTTGTTATTTTGAAGATTTTAGCAGTGCTCCTTTGCTGCTTTTAGGTCTATTCATGGGAGCCGCAAAACCAGCACTCACTGTCTCCTTGCCCCTTTCCAATCCACCACAACCACCAAAATCGGAAGCGCCAAAGGTAGAGTATTAAAAATCCTTATAGTTGTTGAAATTGTATTGCTGTCGGCATTAAAGTAGGCAAAGACGCACCGTTTTCTGTGGTGGCACTTTGGTATTCATTTAATATATTGTTTATCACATATAGAAGTTATTGTACGGCAAGGGCTCACATATGTGCGTATCGCTGCTTCGTTTGGCTCTGTTATGTTTTTGCAAGTTCGGTTTCTCTCCTTCGTTAGTCCAGTGAAGCTTCAAAGCGAAGGAGCGAATATTCCTCTTGTTTTGTAACCAAGCGTGTATTTGCTTAATGGGTGCATTCGGGGGGACAATCTTAAATTTATGTGAATGTAGGTTCCAACTGCTTCAGCTGCTGATTTAGTTCGCGCACATCGTCGTGTATGATTGAAACTGCAGATTCTCAAGAAATGTCACAAGGCCTGATTGTTCTGATTGGTATCATTTCTACTTCTTTTTGCAGACTGTAAAATCCGAAGCTGTTCCGTTCTCCTTCGGTGCACCTAGGCATACTTCACCAACTACCGCGGCTCCGGCTGTCTCGGAAGCTGCGAAACCAGCCACAAACATCTTTGCAGGAATAAAGCCGACCGAGAATGTGTTTTCTAAAAGTAAAATTTTAACAATTTTTTTTTCTGAATTTCTCAGATGAGGGTTGAATTACTCGTTTTCAGCTCCGGAAACGAAGCCAAAGAAAGAAGGTGAGGGCGGAGAGGATGAGGATCACGATCATGTTGAGGAATTCGAGCCGCAAGTGGACTTTAAGCCAGTTTGCCCACTCCCGGAGCTTGTACAAGTTGTGACTGGAGAAGAGGATGAAAAGGTGAAGCTTGGATCATGCTTATTGCTTCATTGCGATTCCATGATTCAGTGTGGTATTGAGGATTCCTTCTTTCTTCTAGACTTCATAGGCAGATATTCAACAGACATTTATTGGTGTCTGGCTAGCTAGTCTCAAACAGGAATACCGAAGAGCAGTCTTGCACGGGAAACGCTGGGTCCGGAGGGGGGACGGGGCAGCCGATCTTGAAGTCGTCGATCCTCTCAATAATCTGTGTTTTGCGCCGCTCCGCGCGCCTCCTTCGCCATCGCCCTGTAATCAGTAGAATTCATCTCTGCAAGCTTGCTTCAACTTAGTGACTCAGCTTGTAACTGTACCAAGTATCGATTAATCCCTGTTCCTCACATTTCCCAAGACCTTACAATTCACAGAGGGTCTTTTTATTACTTTGCTTCCCAACCTGCCCTTGACTGAGTTTCATACAAGTCTACTGCTGTTACAGTTTTGAGCAAGTCTCGAGAAATACCTCTCACAAACATTGCACTCTAGTTCGTGATGTTTTAGGTGATTTTCGAGGAGCGTTGCAAGCTTTATCGCTTCTCTGACGAAACGAAAGAGTGGAAGGAGCGTGGAACAGGAGTGATGAAGGTGCTTGAAAACAACAGTACGAAGAAGTGTCGTGTAGTGATGCGCAGAGAGCAGGTTGGTCATCTGTTCAACTGATTAACTTTTCAAATTCAATGTTTTTACCCGAATCTCACTATTTTCCATTAAATCTGCGTATCCAAAGTTTTCTCATGTTATCCTTTTTCTGTAGGTGTTCAAAGTATGCGCAAATCATCAGCTGTTACCCGGTATGACGATTCAAGCGATGCCGCGCCAAGAAAAGGCCATGATGTGGTATTGTGAAGATTTCTCCGAGGACCAGGGAACTCATGAAAAGCTTTCGGCTCGATTTGCAAGTGTGGAGGTGGCCAATAAGTTCAAAGAGGTTTTCGAGAATGCTGTTAGGAATGCGGGACCTGGTAGGCGCAGCTAGTAATTGCAATTCATTGCTTTCTTTTCGATTTTTTTTTACTATGTTTCAGTAGTGTCTCCAATGAAGCCGACAAAGGCTGAAAAGCAAGAAGATAAGTCGAAAGATAAAGATACTCAAGACGTGGAAGAAAAGAAAGTAGAAGAAAAGAAGGAACAAAAAGAAGCGGATACCAAAGAACCGACTGCACAAAAAGGCTACGGAGACCAATTCAAGCTACAGCCTGGACAGTGCGTTCACTTCAGTTATCATTATCATTGTCACTTTCTTTGAATTGGAAATGATGTTATTTTTATTGTTGTAGATGGGAATGTCCGGAATGTTATTCTCGCACGGCTGCGGACAAGTGCCCCTGCTGTGGAACGCCTAAAGGAGGAGAAAAAGCGCCAGCTCCGACTTCTAAGTAAGTTCAGTTCAAGTTTTGCTAGCTACACTTCTCGTGCAATCATGATAATTGCTATTTAGTTTCATATATTTTTATTTCCTCAAACAGTACCACAGTGACCCACTAGGACACGCGAATTATTGATTAAAGCGAATTTTTCGCGCCTACCCCTTGAAGTACAGCGCGTCATATAAAGAACAACAGGTCATGGTCAACCGCAAATATTTTTAAAAGGCAAGATTCAATTTCTCAGAGTTGTGGTAGCAGGCATTACAGTGATCATAAATCATCAGTGAATCAAGTTTCCCTTTCTATCTTATGCAAATGAAGTATAAAGGTCTCCTCCTGTTGATCATGGATGTAATCTTCTTGTTTGGTGTTTCCTTATTTGATGTTCAGGTCGACTCTGCCTACCTCAAGCATTCCTCTTGGTGGAGCTCCAACAACTGAAGGACAAAAATTCACTTTCGGATTAAGCGCAGCTGCAGCAGCTAAAGCTTCACCAGTAGTTCAGACTTCATCATCCGTTACACCAAAGTCATCGCTGTTTGGGTATGCCTTTCTGTTCATATTTTTCACCTCTACTTAGCTCTTGTTGTTTGTGGAGTCCATATTACAAAATTTCAGAGCATCTCTAACAACTGCTTCTTCTGGCACAACTCCGTCAGGTGGCTTTTCCTTCGGAACAAAACCGTCTATATTCGGTGGTGCTTCTGCAAAACCACCTGCAGGTGCTAAAACTATTGCCTTTTTGACTAACATATGCCGACCATAACGACTGATTTTTGCAAGGCTTCTTTTTGTCACTCGTACGTTAGTTTATTGCTTTCAGAGGGAACGTCTCCGTTGCCTGCGTTTTCGTTTTCAAAAAAGCCTGATGCTGCAACAACACCAACCTCTACTGCGGTAACAACTTCTTCGGCTCCAGTCACTTTCTCCTTCAAACCAGGTGAGCGGTTTTTCTAATTTTTTTCTATCTCCAGGAAACATGAGCAGGTATTGCCTATATATTCAGCTGGATCTACGTCGACAACGCCTAGTATGGGAGGTTCTTTGTTCGGTAGCAAACTTTTTGGAGCATCAAGTACGGCTTCAACTGAGGAAAAGAAAGAACAGCAAAAGGACGAGAAAGATGCGTCGGCTCAGCCTAAAACCGAGCAAAAAGTAAGGTTTCTCTTGTCCTTTTTGTTCAGAGTAGACGCTCATCTATTCTGCAGGTGTTTGGCAGTGGATTTGGTGGTAATCTATCATTTGCTACTCTCGCAAAATCAGCATCGGGATCTATCTTCGACTCTGCTAATACGCAGAAGGCACAGGCAGAATTTGCTGCTCAAGCAAAAAGCAAGGCTGGTGTCGTTTGCTCTGTAATTCACCTGTATTGGCTCTTTGCAGGCGTTTCTGTGAATTTTGACTTGATGAAAAAAACAACCTGTATTCGAAAAATGTATGGTGTATTCCGTATTCCCCCGTCCCACTTTCTCAATGGGGTTAAGGTTTCTCAGAAGGTACACTCACGAGCTCAATCTTCTTTAAATTCTCCAGTGCCCTTCCTGCATTACGTGGCAACATTCATAATTAAAAATCATCAATTATATTCGTGGTGCTCATTTTTCGCTCGTTTTTAACCATTCAGTGAACTAAAGCATTTTTTTTCTGTCACAGTCAGTATCAGTTCTTGATTCAGAAACCAATCCAGCGGCATTCACAAGTGTCTGCACTGTTAGTTGTATCAGATTGTCCGATAAGTAGTGTCGTTTTTTTAAATGGAAATCTTTCCTCTAGGATCCCGAGGTTTTACATAATATCGAAACCATCCTAAAGAGAATTGACCTCTTCATAAAAAACATTAAACCCCTCTCATCCATTGTGAACTCTCTGAACTACTGGCTTGCAAAGTGGGATCTCCCTTAGACGAAAATTAGCCGATTCGGCATCTAACACAAATTTTACCTAACCTGGAAGGGTGTGTATCATGTACTTAAGCAGTACCTCTACTTATTATTCCACTGAGCTTTCATGAAGCCGTGTCTGCCTATGGGCGCACGCATAGTCGGTCGGACGACAGCAACGATCGTAACTGTCGCACAGCATTGGATGCGTATCGATCGTCGGACTTGCCTGAGTATTCGACGATTAGATGCAGTTAGACAGTCAGACAGTTGCGATCGTTGCTGTCGGACGACCGACTATGCGTGCGCCCTATTTTTGGGTATCCTGCAAGAAATCGGTGGTTGACCGCACAATTTGCCATCGCCGAGTCTCTGAAGAACTGGCAGAAGGTTTAGAATCAGTCATAACCAGGAACGGGGTGCATCACTGACCGATTTTCCAGCATCTTTGGGGATATTTTTTGAGGTAATTTTATCATCTTAAGCTAAAACTCTACCAAAAGAGAACGACCCTACCTATCCAAGGGTTCATGTTAAGTAGAGGTCGTGTCTAGCAACTGAGTGCATTACTCGTTGATTTCCTTCGAATGATCATTGAGGTAGTTGCCGGTTTGACTACTTTCCATCTTTTTGACCTCACATTCTGCAGGCCTCTAATCCAGTCGGTTCCCCATTATTATAGAAGAGCTGCAACGTATTTAGAGCGGGCAGTTCCATAATATGAAATTCTTGAAATTAAGCTTATATACATGAAATTCATCGAGGTGGCTCTATGCTCTTTTTTCAGCTCGCGGTTGCGGCAGATCAATCGAAAGGTGACTCAACGAAGCACAAAGATGGCGGGGAAGGAGATGCAGAGCGAGGCGCCGATGAAGAGTACGAGCCCGATGTACACTTTGCTCCTGTGGTTCCACTTCCAGAATTGGTAGACGTAGTTACCGGTGAAGAAGATGAGCAGGTTCTTTGCATAGACGGCTTATTCGAGTTATTATGTTTTGATTGATCCGTGTTTACCTGGGGTTTCTTATATGGGAGCACGTTGTAAAGCTTATTACGTTCCTGATATTCTTCTTATTTAGGTCGTGTTCGTTGCTAGGGCGAAACTTTTCCGTTTTATAAAGGAAACCAAGGAGAATAAAGAACGTGGTGTTGGCGATCTCAAGGTAACGTTTTTTTTAATATATTTGCGTTGAAGAGCTGTTCAGCGCCACTCATTAATTGATTAATCGGAATTCGTATTTTTTTCGGTTACGATTACTTTTTTAGATCCTCCGCAATCCTAAAACTAATGCTCATCGTGTGGTGATGCGCCGGGAACAGGTGCACAAAGTTTGCGCTAATTTCGCCATTCTGCCGAGTATTGAATTGAATGAAAAGAAGGGAATGCCGAATGTCTACAATTGGATATGCCGCGTAAGATTTTAGCGCAGATTATCGGTCTATGCCTACCCTTATGTTGAAAAAAAGCTAAATTTTAGGATTACTCGGAGTCACCTGATGGTGTAGACGAGATATTCACGGCAAAATTCAAAACACCTGAAATTGCTAAGGAGTTCCATGATAAGTTTTTGGAAGCAGCGGCAGCGCATCCGGTAAGCTATATCTCACTGGGTAACTCGAACCTATTACGTTTTATGTGGTAATTTTTGTATTTCCAGAGTGCCTCCAAGTAGTGAATTGGTCGGTTTTTTATTTATGAATAGTTCAATTGTAGTACTCGTTTTCCCCGTGCATTGAATAAGAAGTTGACGATGGTACGGCGTGATCTGAATGCTATTTCCTTAAGTTGTCAATTTTTTTCGTTTCCATGTTATGTTGTAAGTCATTGTGAGAGGTGTAATAAATCTATTTCCAAATTGAGTAGGTTTGATTGGTGGGACGTTTCTATTCCATGCTCCTTCAGTTGGTTTCTACAATGAGCTTTAGGCCGCTTCATGAAGTAGGTTATCCAGCGAGTGCAGTCCCAACAGTACTGGTTCTGCTGTGTGAAGAAATGGAATGGCGTCCGAGGTCGTGATGGAGAGTAAAGGGGAGGGGGAAGATTCTGAAACAACTATTGACAACAGGTTCACATGAAGTGACTGTATGGTAATTATGC